ATTTCAGAATTTCGGCTAACACGTTATGAGATCGGTCACTGGCTGTATCAAGGCAGTCTACGGTCTCTAATCTGCTTGGGCTGCACTGCTACACAACTGATATGGAACAACTCTACAAACGGATGAGTTTCAGATCCTGCAGAAACGGTCTGACGATCACGGGGCGTCTTCAACCGCCCATCTACAGGGAGTCATCAACAGGCTTCTGCAAATGGAAACCAATGCCCACCTCTGTAGTCCCTCGCGTAGGATAAAGTTAAGATGGTGTCCCAGATGTAAACTGGTAAAGTTCTGGGTACAAACCCAATTCCTACACTCAAATCCCTGTTAAACTTTCTCCCTTTTTTCCTGGGGGTGTGACCATAAAACGCAACTTGCGAGATGCCTAAGGTGCAAGAAATTCTCATACAAACAAACACAAAAAACGGCAAGTCTGCAGCAATCACATGGGGAGAGGACTGTTTGTGGCATCGTCCGCAAAATTCTAGCCCAGGAGCCACTTACTCACCTGGATCTACATCTGGGCGTGAAGTTTTCCCCGTGAGTCATGTTGGGATCGAGAAAAGCTGACATAATCGTAGAAGTCCGATAACTACTGGAAAAGTGCTAGTTAATGAGAGTCAGCTTCCATACTACATTCGCGCAGCATGGTGAGGTCTTTGGAAAAGTGAAAAGAGACAGCAGTCAAAAAGGATTAAACGCATGTTAATGCAACGAACGGTTACACTCTTGGTCAGACAGCCTCCTGATGACGTAATGGGGTATGCCACGAGCAAAAGATCAAGGTTGGAGGTATTCAGAGCTGTCACGTACAGTAGGCGGGTTAACTCATGAAATGGCAACCTAAATTCCGAAATGTGTTTTCGTTTCGAAAAGATTAATTAAGTAGGGTTGTAAGACTAGGCAGATATAACATAATTCTATAATAGTTCAGTTACCTCAGGATGCCGGCTTTCGAAGGAACTTCTTTTCGGCTGCATAAAAAGACTACACTCTGTAAAAAATGACTACTTATGTGGCATGCATTTTTCGCATTGATTTTTGGTGCCCATAAATGCCCAATTATATTGCATGGAGAACATGCATAAAAATATTCATTCTTTTGCTCATTTGGTAGACGATAACGTCTTCTTCCAATCTTATACTCGAAGGAAAGGTATAATTCGGTTTTCAGAAACTTTTCCAATTCCCGATTAATTTTGAACCCGTTCTACAGTTACACTTGGATTCAGGGTTTCCAAACTACACGCCGCATATTGTCCGCGTACAGAAAACCACAAATTTCCCTACAGTATTAAGGGGGACCATATAGGGTTCGTAAAATTAAGCAGTGGATTTGATCCATATTGTTAACTTTACAAGCCACATTGGTAAATGCAAAGACATGACGATTAACGAACGGCCATATCACGATATTTAAAAGTCCCACAATAAGAAACTTTTTAGAACCTAATTATGTCTCTCCTTCGAGTATAAGATTAGAAGAAGACGTAATTCTCTACCGAATGAGCAAGCGAATGAATATTTTTATGCATGTTCTCCATGAAATATAATTGGGCATTTATGGGCACCAAAAATCAATGTGAAAAATGCATGCCACATAAGTAGTCATTTTTTACAGAGTGTAGTCTTTTCATGCAGCCGGAAAGAAGTTCCTTCGAAAGCCGGCATCCCGAGGTAACTGAACTATTATAGAATTATGTTACATCTGCCTAGTCTTACAACTCTACTTAATTAATCTTTTCGAAACGAAAACACATTTCGGAATTTCGGTTGCCATTTCATGAGTTAGCCCACCTGCTGTATTTTTGAATCGTCGTTGCAACCCTCTTCGGTTTTATGTTCCCCACAGTGCTGAATGGAGCTTATAGAAGGGATCAGCCGGGTACTGACAAATTATCGGGCCGACTGGAAACAATCCAACACCCACCGTATTTAGGTCGTCATAAAAAAACTCCAAGATTGGGTTACTTGACCTCCTCCTCGCCAATGATTGGACATTAAATTTTACGAGTTGAACAGGTATGCAGTGGAACTTAAGCCTTTTTTGCTTCCGGATGAGTCGGTCTGCAGTTTTACAAAAAAACAAGCAAGAAACAGCTGTCATGCACCAACCGACCGCAATCGTCGAATTCCCCGAACTCATTGTAACTGTGAGTAGTTAATCCCCCCAGCGGCAGATTACTTCAATTGTCTGGGGGAAAATATTTGAAAAAACAACTATCTTGTCGAGCAGGCCTAAATTCGTATCCCTAAAGCCAACTAAGCTGAAAACACCGTAAAATCACTCTAATAAGAAACTTGGGATTAGCAGGCCATGAATCCAGGCTATGTCTCTCCACAGCGCGGAGCCCTGGACAAAGCAAGAAGGCCAACTGGGGATTCCAAACCATTTCCCTCTAAGTTGAATTTGAATTCGGAAAATTGTTAAAAACAAGTTCCGGACACCAAGGTAATTGATTAACATGTTGAAAATCTATGTCTCACCATTGTGCAGCGGCCACATCCTGAGAATGATTGCTGAGCGGATACCGAAGCGATTCTTCTATAGGGACATCCAACGGACACTCCCAGATAAAATGAGTAAAAACGCCACTAGGACAGATTGAAGGCCTCCTTACGCGTCCTTAGGTTCATCGTGAGGGCTGGAAATCGCTAGTATAAAACTGGCAGGCAGGACAGATGGTGGCAAAAACTGCAGTAGCTATCTATGAAGCCGGCCAAATGTAAATCAAACCGAAACGACAGGACCGAAGTACCAACCACCGTCTGTCAATATCCCCACAGCCAATATTTCCTTAAGGCCAACGCTTGGCTTGTCGAACATCTCTGGATCTACCAAAATGCCGCCGAGAGCAGTCCACTTCCCGTATGATGAAATACCACCATAAATTAACCTAACTTCAACCTTTCTTCTTCATATCATTACACTTCAATCCCGACTTACTGTCGCTTTTCTATACTGCCGCAAAACCGATGGCGACCGCCAGTAGTGCAGACGCAGTACCAACTAGTTTCCCTTGTGATTGCCCTGGTCGGACACCTGTATTTACCCTGCACCATGACTGGTACCCCCCTCCCCCCAACGCCTGTTGTGTCAGTCTTCAGAGCCCACACTACTCGCATATTCGACCACCACATTTCTTTACTCCGTTGTATGCAAACACGGCAAAGATCGCTAAAATACTCCCTTGTACCTCACGTCTACACCGCCTCCAGGCCTTCGATCGTCAAATAGACCTTTCTGGTCAAAGCCATCCACCACTCACGCACTAGTTCTACGTAGTTCTGAGAACCCGGCGGAATAATGAACTGTTGAGCCACATGCCTTGAAAATATGTGATGCACCTAGGTCACTTGACCTTCGAAGCCGTCTCCGATTGCTCGGCGCTGAAAGTCCGCCCCGGTTGGACAAAATACCATACACACAGGAAACAGAATATCTGAGTGGGTACAATTTGAACTGCTCCCGTTTTTATCCATTTCATTTTCCCTAACTCAGATGAAAACTCGCATCGAAGACGCTGTTTTAGCGAGTCTGCTGGTACGGCGCATGTATAACATTTTAGAATCGGCAGGCGAGAACGCAAATATCCACTATTCTTAAACATAAATTAACAGACCAAGCTTTAAAAGCGGCTGTTTTAACATCATAGGCATTTTAAGACCTAGGCAACATTTAAAACCTGGAGTGACAAAGGGAGACCGACCCGAAATCTGCAGATAATGGTCATTAGTTAGGGACCTGTCACGCCATTGAAGTTGTTGATTTAAACACTTAATAGGACTTGAGCATCAGCCGCAAATTATTGGCATTCTGAAGCAGAAATAGCGCCAAGACCGCCCATTTCAACGATCACATGGTATTCGGAAAAAAACAATGGCATCTGGAACATTCGGTTTCAACAGGTTAACATTTTGGTAGGAAACGCAAATGAGGATAGCTCGACCGTCATGTCCGACGATGTCCACCGCGTGCTCCACAGCAAGGTGAATCAGGCACGGTGACTTGCGCATGAATTAGTTTATAGTGAGAATAGACTTACGCAGCATCTACCGCATGCGTTAGAGTGCTGTAGGTCACGTTAAGAAGGGACCGCTACAGCCTGCCTCTCAGCCCACCAGTCTGCCACTCCACACATACATACACGCAACTAGGTGGACTGAGTTGGAGCGTCAGTCAGCAGCTTCCCAAAGCACGCTGCTTGACGCGCCGTGATAGTCTCATATTCGAATTACACATGCAGCTGACGAGCCGCATGTAAACAAAGTCGAGACGCACACTTCCCACTTGCGTGGGGGGTGGCAACTGGATGCTTTTGGTGGGTGATAATGCTGTGTGATGTAGGTGGAGGAAGATGTGATAGTGTGTTTTAGTCGGCGGCCGTCTAACTCAGGTTTCCATGAATGCGCATATAACTTCTTATGTCCATGCGGTGGCGGAATGTGTGGATGAAGTGGAGGCAATTGAGGCAGGTGCGGCGAGTGTATGGGGTGTTCCAGGTACTGGTTCGCCAGTCACTGTGTGCTGGATTCGTAAGTGACCGACCAGGTCGATGCGTGAGGTGGGTGAGTGGGAACAGTGTGGACAAAGTCGGTGGTGTAAGTGTCGGTTTCCGAGATGGTGGCGGTGGTGGACCTGTTGATAGTGGACGCCTTGGGCGACGGGGTGTGTGTTGAGCTAGGCTAGGTGTGTCGAGACTGCGCTCAATTCCACTATCGTAGATATGCAGGTGACCGAATGTGCAGGGACAGTGCGGGCAGTGGAGGCAAATGCGGCGAGCGCAGGTTGGTGCTCCAGGCACTTGTTCCCCAGTCTCTGTGAGACGGATTCGCTAATGACCAACCAGACCGATGTGTGAGGGGAAGGTGTAGTCGCAATGCGGACAGATATGGATGGAGTCCATATCTCTGGCGTTAACGGTGGGGATATTGATGTTTTTTGGAGTGTCAGGATTGTGTGTCGTGGTGGTGGGTACAGGAGCCGCATTAGCGGATGTTTAGGTAATGGAGGAGGAGGAGGAGGAGGAGGAGGAGGAGGGTGGCAAGGGCTCGGGAGTGCGGTCAGTGTTAGTTGTCGGCGTGGAGGATGAGGAAGAGTTGGACAGGGAGACAGCAGCTGACGTAGTCCGAGTGCTGTAGTTGGTACGAAGATGTCCTATAAGGTCGATTGGTGCCCGGAACGTCCGCTGGCACGTGGGTAAGTCGGGGGTGGTTGAGCGTTGGAGTTGCGTGGTGAGCGTAGTTGTGAGTTGCAAGTTTCGCGTTTGGCTTTGGCGGCGGTAAGGCGGCTGGCTTTGTATATGACCGCGGCTGTCTTCACTGTCCTTCTCGGGATCGGTCGGTCTCGGGCGAGATCTTTTCAATTGGCTGGGCTGATTTGCAGGTGCTTCAGGGAAGTCTTCAGAGTGTCCTTGTAGCGACGAACTTGGCCTTCCCGTCGGCGGGAACCCTTGGCGACATCTCCATAGCAGAGTCGTCTGGGTAGCCACTCGTCGTCCATCCGCACGAGGTGGCCGCTCCAACGCAGTTGCAGTTATCTCAGCATGGCATAGATGTTAGGGATTCCCGTTCACTCGAGCACGTCCGTGTCCGGGATCCGGTCCTGCTACCGCAGCCTCAGTATCCGTCGAAGACAGATGAGATGGAAGTGCTTGAGTATCTGCGTCTGCCTCTTGTACGCTGTCCAGGTCTCAACCCAGTACATCAGCGTCGGCAGGATGGTGTTGAGGTGGAGACCGTGGCGATTGCAGACTGTGTTTTGCAAACGGCTCAAGGCTTGGCTGGCTTTAGAGATCCGGCGGGCCACTTCATCGCCGATTTGGTGTTGCGAGATAGGGTGCTGCCCAGGTAGATGAAGCTGTCCACGACTCGCAGTTGGGCGCCATTCACGTTAATTTGGGTGCGACGTAGGCAGTGTCGGGTGGCGGTTGATGCATGACCACCGTCTTCTCCGTGTTGATGACCAGGACAAAGGTGCCGCAGGCGGCGGTGAAGAGGTGCATGCTCCTTTGCATATCCCTTTCGGAGGTGGCGTTGAGGGTGCAATCGTCGGCGAAGAGAAGTTCGTGAACGGTGGTTGTGGATACGCGCGATTGGAAGGGCATCCGCCATTGATTGAGGAGTTGGTCGTCCGTCCTGTAGGCGATGCGGATCCCGGGGCGTTCGTCATGATAGGTGTCCATTAGCATGACAGAGAACATGAGACTGAAGAGGATAGGCACGGGTACACAATCCCACTTCACTCCGTTACTCACTGCGAATACCTCTGAGAGCGCCCCATTGTCTGTGATGCGGGCCGTCATGCGATCGCAGAGCTGGTGTACCATCTGAGTGAATAGTTCGAGACAGCCGTATCTCTGCATGAGTTCCACAGTACTTCGCGACTCGCCGTGCCGAAGGCTTTCGTCAGATCCACGAACGTAGGATAGAGGTGGATCCGCATCTCCTGACACTTCTGCATTCGTCGGGCGGTGTTGATCATGTTGGTGGTCCCACGATGACGGCGGAAGCTACACTGGCTTTCCGGCAGAAGACCCTGTTCCAGATCTTGGTTCAGGCGGTTGAGGAGAACGCGAGCGAAGATTTTCCCAGCGATGTTCAACAGGAAAATACCTCGGTGGTTCTTGCATAGCTGGCGATTACTTTTCCGCTTATAGAGATAAATGATTGCGATGCTCTTGAAGCCATGCAAGAATTCTCCTTGACGCCACATCGCCTAGAAGAGCGTCGTCAGATGATCCATAAGTTGGTGGCCACCGTGTTTGTAGATCTCAATAGAGATCGCATCCGATCCGGGCACTTGCCTGATGGAGAGCTGCTGCAAGGCCCTGATAGTTTCCTGGAGAGAGGGTGGGCGGTAGAGGTCGACGTTGGTCTCCACTTAAGGCAAACGGACGATGACGGCTTCAGAGATGGTGGGCGGGCGGTTGAGGACGCCTCTGAATTGTTCGACCCATCGCTGTAGTATTTATGTCTTCTCAGTGAGTCGAATACTGCCGTTGGCGCTGAGAAGAGAAGCAGTGGCTTTGGTTATCGGACCGTAGACAGTTTTGATCGCAGCGAAGTTCTTCCATTCGTTGCGGTCCGCGTACCCTTGGATCTCTTCGGCCTTGCGAGCCTTCCAGACGTCCTGCATCTCGCGCAGCCACTGGCGCACAAGGCGGTTGCCCTGTTGTCGTCGGTCGGGCGGTCAGCTTCGTGCAGGTGGTTCTTCTCGGCAAGCAGGTTTCTAATGGCGACGTCGTTATCGTCGAATCAGTCCTGGCGTTGGCCACGTGCGCGACCGAGGACAAGCAGGGCCGTCGATTTGACTTTGTCCCGCAGTTTACGCCATCGGTTCCCCATGGAGGCGTTTTCGTCAGCGGCGGCGTCATCAGCAGCGGCAGAGGCGACTGGACGGTTGGGCAAGTTTATTGCTGAAATGGAGATGGTGAGCAGGCAAAGAGAAATTAATATTCAGCTTACCTGGGGGTCGCTTACCCTGAGGTCTCCTGCGTTGCCGTAGGCGAATACGCATCTTCGAAGTGACGAGACGATGGTCGGGATCGCCTTCGTCACTAGCTCATCCCGCTGGTCTTGCCTCTAGACATGGAATAGTCCAGCATGTGCCAATTTCGCGACCGAGGGTGCATCCAGGTGGCCTTCTCTCGCATCCAGGAGCGGAAATAGGTGTTGGTCAGGAGGAGCCGGTGTACTGAGCAGGTTCGTAGGAGGAGCAGGCCATTATCGTTGGAGCCGTTGAGACCATGGGGACCCAGCAATCCTCTCCAGGCAGCATGGTCTGTGCCGACGCGGGCGTTGAAATCATCAAGGACAATCAGCTTACCCGTCTTCGGCGAAGTCGCTAGGAGGGCATGCAGGTCCTCGGAGAATTTGTTCCTTGCAGCATCGGGACTGCTCACGGAGGGAGCGTAGAGCTGATGATGACGGCGCATTTGCCTCTCCAGAGTGACAGGCGGAGGCTCATCAGGCGATCGTTGACGTCCTGCGGCAGACTAGGCAGTCATCTCACGATGTCGTTTCGAATGGCAAAGGTGACGCCTACGTCCCATCCCTCTGCCGCTCGATAAGGTGTATTTGGTACCCACCTCCTCCAGTTGGCCTTGTTCGGAGAACCGGACCTCAATGAGTGCAGCGATGTCCACCTGATACCGCGCCAGTTCCTGAGCAACTAATGTCGTCCTTCGTTCCGGTCGGCTGCTTTTGGGATTATCTAAAAGACAGCAAATATTCCAGGCTGCCAGAATGGGCGGACATACTCTATCAGTCTGGCGAGTGGGGCGGCGAGCAGGAGGAGCGGGAAGAGAGAGAGAGTATAATGTCTTGTCAAATAAAAGTAGGCGTTCACTGGGAGAGGTTTATTGTAGGTGTGACGTTTCGAGTATTTGTTTCGTCTGCCCATCTTTAGAGACTGGGAAGCCATGCGCACAGGTCTCTTTATAAGGCGCACTTTGTTTGATGTTTGGCCCGCTAATGGCGCCTGCGTGCTGAATTCAACCCGCATGTCACCGTGACCTGAATCGCGCCCGCCCTCGTCGGCCGCGGAGATAGTTGACGCCCTGATTGTCCCGCGCCGTGCTTCTCCCCCGCTAAGAAGGTTCTTAAATTCAGATAGGGGGGAGGCAAACTGGGGTGGCGGTTGACAGAGCAGTCGATGGTCATCCAGACTTCTTGCCCTTGCCTTGCCGTATTATCATCGCCCCGGTCCACAATCTCAGTGGCCTCAAAATTGTAGATGTGTCATATTTACGCGTCATGGGTTGCTACCTCCGACTTTGGGTTCAACCTTCGCAAGGCCAACCTATGCTCGTGCATTCCCGTTTGTAGCGGTCGGCCGCTTTCCCCAAAGTAGTTGCACTTCCCGCAGCTACATTGAAGTCGGTATACAACAGCCGACATCTCCTGCTTAGGGATCGGGTCTTTTGGCCGCATCAATTGCCGGCGGATTTTCGAGTCGCGCCTGTGGGCAGCGCTTATTTTGAGCCGCGCGAGGGATCTAGCCACGGCTTCGGAGACCCCTTTCATGTACGGAATGCTCCGCCAAGATTTTGGCTGACTATGTTCTCCAGTCCGCTTCCATGGTTGACTTCGGCTCCGTTCAAGGAATGCTCGCGGATGGCCGTTGGCTCAGAAGAGTTCTTGGAGGAGCTTTATCTCGTCCAGTTTGGCGACCGGCATGATGCATTGAGTTTCCACCCGTCGGTATAGCGTGCGTATGCAGCTTCGTTCGTGTTGCAGTGGGTAATTGCTGTTGTAATTGAGCAGTCGCAGCGTGTTCGTCGGTTTTCTGCAGACTGATGTCGTCAGTTGGCCGTCTAGTTGGCGGCAGACAACAACATCAAAGGATGGAAGTTTGTCCTCCACTTCCTCTTCCATCGTGAACTGTAGATCGGGGATGATTGAGTTCAGCAGCTCTTCATACATAGTAGTTACTTGTATCCTTATCGATGATTACAAAGGTAACATCAACGTAACGAGCCCAAAACTTGAGTTTGTACTCCTCGAATAGTCGCTTCTCGAATTTTTGCAGAACCGTCTCGGCAATGAGCCCGGAGATTGGTGAACCCATCGGAGTGCCCTTAATTTGCTCATATGTGATCCCCTCAAAGGTAAAAAATGTTTTGAGGTAGTGGCCCATGAGTTCTATGAGATCCTGAGCTGTCGGCTGGACATCGCCCTCATCCTAATTTTGACGTAGCAGGTCACTGAGGGTCTGGACCGCATGGGCCTGTGGTATGGACATGAAGAATGAGACGACATCAAAGGACACCATCCTCTCATTCGGTTTGATCGTGACCGCCCTTATTCTGTCAAGTAATTGTTCTGCTGAGCGCAATGTTGTTTGTGAGTCGGCGGTTAGGAATCTTAGCTTTTTAAATAACCAGTTTGCAAGCCCGTATGTGGGTGTGCCTCGGAGTGAGACGATTGGTCTTTGCCATATACCAGTCTTCGACGGTGATGGCCTCGTCCTTCTTTAGTCGAGCCAGAATTCTGTTAATCTTCGCCAGTAGGGACTTTAGACTGGCGGCATCGCTGACACTGTAGGATTCCCGATAGTTGAGGTCCATGAGGGCTTTGTTTCGGTAGTCTGCCTTGTTAAGGATAACGATTGACCGGTCTATGTCAGCAGGCAGAATAACTATTTCCGTGTCCGATTTTAACTCCCTTAGGGCCTTTTGTTCACCTCTTAGCAGCGAATGGGTTTTTCGGTGCAACATGAGAAGTGAGGAGACTTGATGTCGAAACGTCAGACCTCCAACAAACGTCTCTCGGTGAACGCCTCCTTTTCGTTTGATATGCCACCTGGGAATCTCATTTTCACTACTATAGTATCTTGTGTTTTGGTTTCGACCGCATGTTTAGCAGTCTGCGAGGCACGGTCTGCGCGCAGATGTCATGAACCCAGCTTTGTTTAGGGCATCTTTCCTAGCCCCCTCACCCTCCAAGAGGAAGGCAGTGCTTTCCCTAAATGGGGCTTCTTTGTCGCACCAGACGGATACCGCTCTCCACTATGGGTCACGGGGTTTAGTCAGAGAACATCCAATGGCTGTCACTCTCGCTGTAGGACCATCGACCGTGGAGGAAGAGAGTGGAGCAGAGAATAGGAAGAGGGAAGAGCGGAGGAGGACGGCTGGGAAAATGTGCGCAGGAGTAAAACGGGGCAGGTCTTCCAGCCACTGGGTCAATAGCTCGCTGAGCACTAAAGTGCAAAGGTGAGCAGGCACAGAGAACCAAACGATATTCAGCTTACCTGGGGCGGGGTTACAGACAGAGCCTCGTCTTGGAGATGGCAATGCGGTGAACCGTACGGCCAGCGACAGTGTGAGGAGGCAGAATTTCCGTGCGTGAAGATAAACACACACGGATGCCCTCACCTGGTTTAGCCCTCCAGTCGAGGTGGTTATCGGGACGTGGCCGCTACACAGAGCCTAGTTTCGGGGAGCCACATATGAGAGTTGGGTGCCAGGTAATGGATGTTAAGCGCAGTCTACACACGCAAGCAAGTGAGCAACCTACTGTAATCCCCAGGTGGACACCCATACACCCTTGGGAACGGAAATAAGGACTCCTCGTAGTATAGATGGCCTGAAGCTAAATTCCAGGGGATTCAGGCTTATGAGGGCTATTGCTAGGTTAGGGCCAGTATTGAGGCAGGGTTAAAGTTAGGACAGGGGAATAGGTGACACTGGAACTTTGCGCAAGGCCAGCTTTAGTACGTGGGTCCTTATTCCCATGTCCAGCCAAAATATGTTTGCGGCTCGAAGTCCTATTTCGCAGCTACGCCATTAATTTGAGAGAATCTTTTTACTGTACTGATTTTTCGCCCCAAATAGGTCACGGGATCGAGCCCCAGGTGCTCCACACTTCGGGGTTGGGTATGACTGGTTGACGACGGCTAATAAGCCAGAAATGGCCATTCTGGCCTCCCTAGTCTTTGTTGGTAATGCTATACAGCCATTACAACCTTAGTCTTTGTGCTTAGAGGAGGAGCAAGTTATCACGTCAGTTGGTAGCCTTCTAAGCCACAGTCTTTACCACACCGGGATAATTTGATAGCGCATCGATTGTTTATAGCGAGAAACATGCACTGAATGTCGTGCGGACGTAGTCTTCAGAGTCGGCCTCATTCTCTTTTAATTTTTCCAGGCACCAATACACCGTCCGCGGTTACCTATCCGATAAGGGTGGATTTGCCTGGAACGTGCAGGAATCCAATTTGCGGTGCTCATTTAAGACAGTCTGAAAGAGTGCAACGGGTTAATTTGTACTCCCCCGCCGTAATAGAGACTAGGTTAGCAGGTCTAAGCGTGCTATTTTGAAGAGATACCTCCGAGGAGTTCTTTTAATCCGAGTAGTTACGGTCATGGAGGTGTTGCCTGCGTGTGATGGCCAATTATTCAGGATTCTGAGGTCGCAAACGCTGTTTTAATCTACCCAGACATTTTTTTCGATCAATAAGTCTGCTTGCGCGGAAAAACAATTGACTATTGATTAATTGTTTTGACTTATCGAATTTCAAGAATCGTAAGTAACGGCTTTTTATCGTGCTATATTTGTAAATTAAGCTACACAGCAAGCCCGGTAGTCCAGTACAATTAAAAAAGTATGTTTAGGCAATGAACTCAACTACAGTATAATGGACCAATGAACTTGACAATAGTCCAGTAATTCTAGCTTGCCACGTTGAGGCGTTGGAGAGTCCAAATTCCCCTAATTAATAGGAAAAATCTCGTGTCGCCGTTTAAAGTGAGCGGAGACGCATCCCATTTGCGATTAAAATTATCATCTAGCCGAACTGTTAACCTCGATTTTCACCAATCTGAGCTGACCTTCTGCCTCTCAAAGTTGTTAATGTGTATTCTTGGGGCCTCGGACGACGATGTTAACAATTTGTGACAAAAAGTTACTCGGTTTTACTGGATTAAGGGACTCCCCTGTTCGTGAAATTTGGGATTACATTGCCGCAGATGTCATTCTCGTTGGTGCCAGATTGAAGACCTGCTCCGCAGTTTTTCCATTGAACACGATTACAATCATTGTCATCCTGGGAAAAGCAACGGTGGTTTGCAAGTTAGATTAGAGAAAGACCTGAATAACGTTGACCACATTCTCTCCTCGCAGGTCCATCGTAAGCCCGTAGCAAGTTCAGATCGAAGCGACTGGGAATGACCCTGGGCGCAGTGGGCCAATCTGGCATATGGCTTCGACCACATTTGCCATGACATACCCGATCCCATACTAATAATCGAAACAAACTGCACACACAACCTCACCAAAGTTGAGGGTGGAGATCAGTCGGTGCGATCTGAATTCATCCGTCAGTCGATGAGGTTACGGGGCTTTGGCGAATGCCTAAATTACAGCTACGTGGTAGCTCCAAATGTAAACCAGGTTTCAGATTGGACAGAAGTGGAGCGACCAGCTCCTGTAGTTAGACATTTGTGTGACTGTCATGATGAGTACCCCCTTCCAGGCACTCTAAACTCACTGCACTAAAACCAGCCAGTAAGCAAAGTGTTATTTCTATCCCTTCGTGAAAAGAAATAAAAAATCTTCCCTTCTTCGTTTGTAGTGAAGAAAACAGATATAACACCGTCTTCACAGAGTTCAAAATAAGTGCGCACCGAGCTTATTATGAGTGTTGAGCCGATTTTCCAGCAGATAAGGCAGATGCAGAAGATCACCTCTCATAAAGCGATCAGTTATAACTCAAAATAACTACTTGCTGGGAAGAATTATCAAATGCGACGAACTTTGCGCCCCATTACAGATTGGTTCATACGGAACGGAGGCTTCCAAACGGCAGCTTGGAACAAGTGAAGTCGATCGAAAGTTTTATTGACCTGATGTATCGGAACCAAATTCTAGCAGAGCAGCAGAGAGAGAAACAGGTACAGGATCTGTAGTACTTGCATAGCATGTGATGGTTAGGCTATCAGAAGCCATCTGAGTACGAAAGCAAACTCGTCTCTGACTCCAAAGTACTAATTGCAGTTGTTCGCAGCTGGCGTGACACTTTTTTGACCGAAGTCTATGCTGACAACATCTTCATTGCTGGTGTCCTTCACAAGCGCAAAGATATCTTGGCAGTTCAGCTTCTCATCACCATCTCAGAGCAGCGTTTATCTACCCGCCCCGCTGTAATAAGTCCGCTCCGACACAGTGCTTGAGTTTAGTGGGCTAGTAGAGGTCTTAGTTCACTAGTCGACCCCGCGACTCATGCAGTCACCGCTTCTTCCGAGGATACGATCACATCGAGCATGAGAGCGTGGTCGGGCAGAATCAACTCGAGTTTTTGTGCTTCCTGCAGACAGCTAACATGCGCTCGGAAATCTGCATTCGACTCCATCTCCCTGTTCCTCTGACGTATAGGGTAGCTCTGCCCGCAATTTCACGGAGCCCAATAATCGACTCCCAGGCCATAAAGCAAGACGAGTACGTTATGCAAGCTGTGCTAAAGTTTATTCAAGTTCCTCTAATGCCTGGCCTTTGCACTATTTCAAACCGGTTAAAATTGTTCAGATTGCCTTCAACTACCAACTGGTCGATGGTCAGTTTTCGGTCTATCTCAGTGTTATTAATAATCCAGCGTTGTGCACCAGCTCTCCAGCGTGAAAACACCGGGATCCGGCGCGATTCCAGCTGATGTCTACAGGCATGGTGGTCCCAGGCTGATGGATCAACCCACGCCATTCGAGATGCGGCCCCGATGACCCGTCGCTGCAAGGACACCCTGCAGAAACCTTGAACCGGCTACAGATCAACCTGAAGATGTGGGAAAACCTCGCACAGATCTGACCGACCTTCAGAAGAGCAGCGGAGACTGAAGCAGCTATCTATGAAGCCAACCGGACCATCACTGCTGAGGCTAAAAGAGAAGCCCCCAAGTCTCAGGCGCTCCTGGCCCTCAACGCCAACCTCAAACCACTCCCAACATGCCCGCACTGTCAACATTCCGCACACGGACCAGCCCCGTCGGACATCTCAGGACTCAATGGACCAGCTCGAAAACCCCACCTGATGCTTCTACTACCGACCCTGCCCCAATCCTCGCGGCACCCACTGCTACGACCACCCTCAGTGCCGATGCTCAACATCCCCGTGCTCCGCCGCGGTCGGTTACCATCATCTCTATCATCCCTGCAACAACCTTCACGGCGACGACCACTGGAGCTCCCACTCCCACCGCCGAACAACTCTCCCGACGGCCCGCCAACTACCACACTCATCTCCAATGATGTTGACTCAGTCCTAACCTGTCCCCATTGTGATCGCATACGCTCGTCGCGCATCGGCCCGGTAGGTCACCTGCGAACCCATGGCAGTGACCGACGCAACCATGCTGTGAGCCTCAACATACACTCCCCGCGGACCAGTATCTCAAGCACTGCCATACAGAAGACGTCATCGCCCCAGTTACCCGCACTACCCTCGCACATTCAGCTATCGTGTGGTTCTACTGGGCTGCATGCGTCTCCATGAAAACCTGCGGTCATCCGGCGTATAAACTGGGCGTGAGATGCAAGAATCGACAGTCCTCCGTGATAATTGCTTGGTCCTCGCATACTAAAGGCAACAACGGAATGACACTGACGCCCCAGAGGTGCGGCAGTGTCTCAGTCAGGCATGCAGTGTACAATGCTTAGATACCGAAAGCCACTGGGGTTCAGGGTCCAAATTTCCGACCACGAACCGCTGTATGGATATGGTCGACGAAAAATAGCCTCTCTGTACGCCCAACGCATCTTAGGTGGCTGGGAGACAAATAAACAAGGGGCTGGTCTTCAGATCGCAGCCCAGATGTGCCGAAGAAAACGACCAGCACCGCATGAAAGACGGCTCGCGCAGACAAACACGTTAGTGCAACCATTAACAACCGTCCCACAGTCGTCCGTTGATCCAAGTAAAGCAATGGAGATCTGTTTTGAGTCGAGTGCATGGATTCCTAAACTAACACTAACCCCCTGGGACCTTATGCGAGTTCCAGTGTGGGTGGTGAGGAATGTTACCAAAAACCCAAGCCAAACTCTAGCGCAGGCAAGAAGTTGCCGTAGGAAATAGGCGTATCATTAGGATACTGAAAATATGTTGTTTATTTGAGTTGATAGGCACTACTACTTGAGGGATCAACTAAATGTCAGGAAGTTGAAAACTCGTGGCAAGGCAGACCCGTTAACCAGTATAAAAAGACATTTTATGACACGAATGAGAACGTATTGCCACAGGATGCAAAGTGTGCTCCACAGGCACTGCGTAAAAGTGAAAGACGAAAGCCAAAACCCGACAAGTACAAGTGCAAGGTAACGCTGAATGTTGGAGTGTACTCGTTCAGATTGCCATTAAATTACCAGCTTCAGGTGTGGGCGAGGGTAGGGGGGCTGGGGGTAAAAACAATTGGACTGGTACAGTGGTGGCATTTGGTGGCGGGGACCCGGAGGCTATGCAGCAGGAGAGTATCAAAAGAAAAACAAATTACAGTGAGGAGACAAGACCTAAATAGTGGGCGTCCTCACTCCGTTTGAATCGGCGGAGAGAAAAAAAGAGGGTAGGGGAGTGGTAAGAGGACTCTTAAGCGCAAACGTATGTACAGCTGATTGCGTGGCGCTGGGACTCGAGACGCACACACACACACATACATCGGGAGGGGAGAGCAACATGATTTGGTGCAAGGAGCGAGGCAGGGAGTAGATAACTCCCGTACACATAGGAGCAAGCAAAAAGCGATTGGAAGAGAAGGGAAAGGGCAACTAGTAGACGGCGAAAAAAGCCAGGCTCATTCCAGTAAGGTATATGGTAGAATATGTGAGAAATGCAAAGACGGTCGAGGCAGGCGATTCAGCAGAACGGAGTGCGTCAACAACACTGAAAAGGAAGTAAGAGGTGAATGAAGCTGGAGAATAGGTTATCACCAAAAGGAGAAAGATAAGAGGAGGCATTTGCAGGCTCAGACCACGGTAAATTTATGAGGAGTCTTGAGGGGGAAATCAAGTGAGGGTTCTTCTGAGCGCGGCATAGAAAATGTTAAACAAGCTCGGAAAAACTGAAACTTGTCCCAAGCGGTTGAGAAATCGAAAAAGGTGACGACTACCCAAATCGGCATGCGCCAGAGGTATTTGCAGATACAGTTTACTTAGTGCAACGGCACCCTGCCTGAACGCCCGAATTGCAATCAATATGATGTCTAGTAGGTCGTAGGGAACCTTTTTTACAACAAGGATCGCCTTTCACCAGAGTCGACCGGCAGGAGACTCGCGCGCTAGTTAACATGTCATATATGAGGGCTTACAAAATTCAAAATTTATCCAAGGCATCCTTCTTCGAGCACAATACTCAGCACGATTGTCCGTTCTGAACAAGCGTACTCTAGGAAACACTTGGAGTGTCTTCCACCAGACAGACAATGCAGCATTTAGGTAGACATGTTTGGCGGCGTCGAGACGACACTGTCGTGGTCGAAATCAATAATATAAGAGACTCGAGCCACTGTGATGTCGGGGAGATTGGCCAATTCATGTCCCAAAGCTAGCATATCCTTCCACTGGAGTGCTGGGATAGCAACACAGACGCGACAGACCCGTCATTTGCTTTGTACTTAGTCCCCGTTCTGTGATGGCAGACCTGGATCGCTCGCAACTGCATAATTGACAAGAGGAATCCCAGCGACAAATCCTACGCACATGTAAAACATGCAGGAAGGAGTACAGAGAGACTGGGATGGTCATGTCTGGCTTATCAGCCGTCGGCAGTCAGCTATACCCAATCTCAGATTTGAATAACTTGAGTGAAGCACAGATCAGGCATCTAGTAAAATAGCGATATTCGAGGGCTCGTTGAGAAAATAAGTAGTAGCCCATACATTCCTGTCCCGACAGAAAGTCGTGTTAGTTACTTTTGATCTGCACGTCACGACACAATCGATATCAAATGAGGGGGATATTACTACAGAAACTTCAGCGGCAATTTTGAAAAGCTCGTACTGTATTAGGCCCTACATTGTGATGTGGCCTTTTTCAAAGATCAGCACAACGACTAATTTTCTGCAGCACCTGACAGTGGAAACACTGCCGCAAGCTGGTTGTTTGTGATCGTTAGGCTGACTAATCTTAAAGATTGAACGGCAAATAAGAGTTAAACCACATCCAGCATGAGCGGCAGTGATAATCGGACGGCCAGATAATGAAGGTGTCCGTTCGGCACCTCACAAAAACTGGTTATGAGCGACACTAATGCGGTAACCCAGAAACAAACAGAACAAAAGCAACGTGTTAAATCCCCCCAGTAGTATGACGCCAGTTGTTCTGTTGAACAAAAGGTAGACAAGATGGCAAAGAACTTTACTCGACAGCCGCTGCGTGTACATCAACTCGCAATTCTTCTGCCCATGGTGTCGCACTTAAGGGTCGTGTCCTCGTTGGATTAATATGTTGCCATTGGTCGAGCTCTGACCGTTAGAATGGGCGCGTCGCCAGCGCCGCAAAGTCGCGCGTAACCCAGTGGCGTGCCAGCTTCCGACTCAGCGCGGGCTCGGTGAGAGTGACCTGCGTCGTGGTGGTTACTTGCAGCGCGTGACAGTAGGACGGCAAGGATGGTGCGTCATGCTCTGGGTCGCCTTAACAGGATGACACAATGTTACCCTAGGAACCGCTGAGATCCCGGTGCAGGCTAACAGTCACGGGCGACAAACCCATAGGGTCAAAATCAGTGATTGTCTGTCATCTTTGAGACTGTGGGATGCGGAAAAGGAAATGATGAGATAAACACGAGACCGCAGGGAAGTGGAATTACAGCACGAGTTAAGAGTCCCTATCCCCCACAAAAAATATCAACGATGCAGCAGACGCCTAAGGCCCTGACCGGGCTTAAGCGATACCCATATATCACAAAAATTCGCCCGTCGAACTTGACGAGAACCATCGCGTCTTACGAGACAGTGGCGTCCTGTGAGCTACTTGGATTGTTATATGTGAGACATCGGCAACACTGACCTCAACCTATCTGCCTATCGACATGCACTTTCTGGGGGTAAGAAACCGGACGCATTGGTTGAAAAGGTATTCCATCTACTTCTTTTGGGCACCCGACAAGTTTTGATGCGATAACCAGCACTAGACTAATTTCCCTATGACATAACATTGGCGACAGTTGCCATGAGGTTAAACTGAGATAGGGTAATCGCAACCCAGTTCCACGACCTGAGGATCGAGCTATCTACCTGTGGACAAGGTTCCAAGCCATGACCTTTAAGACGACAGAAATTCAAATAGGCGTCAGCCGAGTTATGATGAGGGAAAGATCATGCAGAATCAGCCGAACTCTTTGGTCTACAGCTTCGCATCCACGAGGCAGGAATGACTCCAGTCGCCTGGAGATGAGATTGGACGCAGTGGCTTCCGGATGTGCTGGTCTCAACTGACACGAAAAAGACTCAACCTGTCCAATAACAGAATGTTTGACTCCGTCGCCCATTCCAGGGCCCTTCAAGCACAATTCAACCAAATAAAGGCTACACACTAGCTAAAGGTCAAAGGCAAATAAATTCCGGCAATCATTGAATAGAAAGATGAACTACTAAAATAGACTGGGTCCTCCATGGCAACCTATGAAATATCTACTAAAATATAATCGATTCCTGCAGGCGCTAGTTCGAGTTAGATTGCCCGAAATGCGCAGGAATAAGTGCACGCGATTAGGTTGAATTAGCCGTTGCTATTTATTGAGGCTAGCGAACAGGAAGATACTAGTGCTATATTTCGATGTCCCTCTGTTAGGCTCAAAGAGGCGGGTTCCCAGAGAAATTGAATGCTTCAGACCAATACTTTGCCGCAAGCAGATAAGCAGGGAATATTAAAGTTCAGTAAAGTAAGGAAGTTTGAATCTTAGTTTTCGAGGTTTCTGATTAGCGCCTACTTACTAAACGACCACCGGAAAGTTCTAAAATACACATGCAAAGCTTACTCGCGCAGGCTAGATGACTGCAGGTCCGAAGTCCTCGACCCCCAGAACTTACGATTCAGTGGCCTCCCAAAATCTGGTGCAGGAGCCACCTGAAGATTCAACTAGTACATCAACCAAAACACACTTGCTGACTTGAACGTGCTATCCACTGAGTTTGTCCGGCGAAAATGACCACCCCTATAAATATTTTAAGAGAGCAGTAATGACATGCTCAGCATCGACAAAACTTTCAATCATTGCGCCCCTCTTTCGCTTGCTATACACATGTTAATCCTTTACTCCG